GCCCTGGAGAGACAGGCCAATGAATCGATGCTGTTTATGCAAGCTCCAGTAGCTTGCTGGGCCAGATCCTCCAGGTGGCCTAGGCGGTGCAGGAAGCTGCCGATAACAAGGCGCGAGCCTCGTCGAAGACGGCGACCAAGCCACCTAACTTGACGGGGCATAGCAAGGATGCCCTCAGCTTCGAGAGCTGGAAGCTAGCCACAGAAATGGGCCGGATATCGTGGAGCACCTGATGAAGAAGGTGTACGACAGAGGCGCTCCGGAAGCTAATCCGACTCGACCCGACCAATCCGCAGGCGAACTCGGCCTTGCTGCGGAAGGTGCTGCGCCCCCAGGCGGGTGGTGTGGACACGGTCGTGGAAGGGATCGAGGCCTGGGAAGTTTCCCGCTATAGGCTCAATGCCGGAAGCCCGCGGCGCTGGAGGATGACAGTTCATGCCTCATCCAGCTTTGCCCTGCCAACTGAGCAACTGCTGGGCCCAGCCGAAGGTTCCAGCCGATGGATCCGGCGTTTTTTGGCAGGGGAACCAGGCTCCGAACTTGTGAAGGAAGAAGTGCGACGCATGTGCTGCCCAACGTTCCTGGCGGCACGTGGTTCCTATTTTTCAAGCTTTCTGATGTACACAGCCACTGGAACCTAGAACATAATTAATTAGTAAGGTTGTGTAGATGAGCTAACGGGTGGACTTACTCGAGCTGAGGTCAGCGCTGCAGACGAGTGCTAAGGCCTGAAGATCTTCAAAGCCCGGTGTGCAGACAGCCGCCTTTCGACGCTGCTCCAGTACTGACATCATACAACGTCCTGCGCTTCAGAGCCATTCTTCTGCGAGCGCAGCAGTTTGCGGAGGCGCACAAACCAGCCGTGTGTTGAGCAGCAGCACACGACCGGCCACTGGCAGCGGCTGACGTGCAGCTGGATGAATCCACATTGCGGCAGAAGCGCCTACAGTGGCTCGGTCGATGCGACCAGAAAACATACCATTTGGCGAGTTTGCTGCCATTGGTCGAGGGTTTGCCGCTTGCCTGACAAACAATTGTGGTTATTCAAAGGCAAACGTGGGCATATTGTATCTTGGGTGCTGGCTCCAGGAACCGTTGCACCGCCTTGTAGAGGCGGCTTTGTCTTGAGCAAACAACCGGCTGGCATCTATGCACGGTTCCCAGACACGAAGTGGAAGCTAGGGCCCTCGTTGCCAAGTGGAACATATCTGTTCACGCCGGCGAGCAGGAGCTGGTTGCTGTGTCGACGGCCCAGCATGTCGGCGTTTTGCACAGGTTTTTTTCTTGTACCAGACTTCGCAACTACAGCCCACGTGGCTCAGGGACAAGGCTTGCCTGCGCTTTTCTCGCGTGGGCGCGGGCCCCGTTGCGGCTTACGTCATGCTGTCCAGAACAACCGACTTGAATGCGCTTGCAATACTGAGACCTGTTTCTTCACGCCTGTTTCGCAGCGGTCCTCCACTTGGTCAGCAGCTGCTGCAGCGCAAGTTCGCGGAGGCGCCGCCGAGTTCGCGAAAGCCGTCCCCGCTGGGCCCCGGCATCTGGAGGGGTGAAATAGCTGCTAACCTCAAGCCAGACCATGTGGCAGAGGCCCACTAAACTTAAAGCGTGTCCGGTTTCTAGTCTGCGCTAGGGCGAGTATGGAAGTGCAGTCGAGCAAGTGTAGAGACCCCGGGAGTGCAAGCGAGACCGTTGCAAGCTTGCGTGAGCCCTTCCCAGTTTTCAAGCACCCGAAAGCCCCCAGACTGGCTACGCTCGAACCTCTTAGTTATACGAATGTTTACAACATGTGTGCAGGATTGGGGCTGGCAATGTTCGGTTGCAGAGTGGGCTCGAGCAACCTCTCTCCCAGACCGGCGCCAAACACCGACGTACTTGTGTGCAGAGTGCCAGCTCCGCGGTTTCAAGCCATGTGAACATCCTTGGACAGCATTTGGTGTACAAAACAGAAGCACAAATATGGGAACAAGGCGAGTGGGCTCGCTGCCAAGCCTGCCAATCGCGACATGCCCGTGATGTGCCGGTGGAAGCACCCAGGTCTTCGGAACAGCGCAAGCCTGCCCCGAACATGGCTCGGTGTGCATGGTGCGAGAAAGCATGCAATTCCACCCACTGACTGCTAAATGTTTGGATGAGGATGGCAGACAACGGAAAATGCACTTGTGCCCCGACTGCATCTCTTGCCGTCAGTGTGGCGTGCGACTGCGCCACATGAGACACTGCACACGCGGTGGCGAGAATCGTTGTCCTAAGTGCTTGTGAGGGAAGCGAACGTGCGTACAACGGCTGAAGCAGCTGTGGAAGCTGAGCCGGCGCAAGCAGTGCCAGTGCCAGAGGCCGGTTCATGCAGAGACTTGCCCAATGGCGCCAAGGCAGTTTGGTGAGCAGCCGTTCCCTGGATGCGACGTGTTGACGTTTGCTGAGTACGAGCAGCTGAAGCAGCACCGACGGCAAGGCAAGTTCTGGGGAACACAGAAGTAAGCTGCCACCTTTGCGTGACCGGACTGTAGACTAGCAGCTGCATTCGCCCAAACGTCGTCTTGGTGTCACGAGTGTGCCCACTGCAAGAAAGGCCTGTCCGGATGTTGCTGTAACCGTAGTTGCACTTCGTCGCGTGGCTGGGTTGTTTTGCAGACACCACTGGAGCACAGCAGGATTCCTGGAGAGCACGAAACTAAGTTGCCAACTTTGCTTAATGTAACTGTCGGCTAGAAACTGCTTTCGAAAAGTTCGGTAAGCTACTGTAGCACAGCAGGATGCGTGGGAAGCACAAATCTAAATTGCCAGCTTGGCTTCAGGTGACTGTGGGCGAGGAACTGCTTTGGGGCGAGCGTCGTCTTGGAGTTGCTGTGGCTCCCAGTAAAAATAGCCTGTGGAAGCACAAATCTAAATTGCCAGCTTTGCTTCATGTCGCTGCGGGCGAGGAACTGCTTCCGGGGGAGCGTCGTCTTGGAGTTGCTGTGGCCCCCAGTAAAAACAGCTTGTCCACATGTTGCCGTAACCGTCGCTGCACTTGGACAAGTACCTGGGCTATAGACGCAAACCGGGCATCAGGAAGCGTATTTGAGGTTATGATATCAGAAACAGCCGCATGTATTGTGGTGCATTGGGTCAACAGGAAGCTTGTCGTAAGCCCACACGGAATTGTCCGTAGTTGCTTTGATTTTTCGTGAGAATGTGTGAGAAACCCCGGTGCCAATCTTGACCCTTGCGCTTCAAAGCCGGCGAACAGCTGACCTCACGAAAGGCACTTGCTGCCAAATGCCTGGATCAGTACCGACGGCAACCCAAGTTCTGGTGAATGGAAAAGTAAGCTGCCAGCTTTGCGTGACATGACTGTAGGCTAGAAGCTGCATTTGGGAAGACATCGTCTTGCAGTTATTTGTGCCCAGTGTACTAACGGCCTCTTCACATGTTGCCTGGCTGTTACTTGAGCCAAGCTGTTCCTAGGCTGTGCTTCTGTTTCTTCATACTCT